ACTAAAGTTTTCTTAATCTAAAAAAAAATTAAAATTGTGTGTTTTTATACGAAGTACGTAGTATTTGACAAGTTTACAACTCTTGTTCGAGAATTACCCTTATGCTTTGCGGCCCTTTTAATTTATATTTTAAATTCAATTATTTCTGTCTTATTCCTTTAGTTGGTTACTACCGAGTAACTTACTATGTTTACATGTTCGAGAATTACACATGATGTAGTGATGTACATTATTAAAACAACATTTATACCACACATGACTTTTATATGATCAAATAGTATTACACTCACACAAAAGTATATCACACATACCTTTTTCCACACATTAATTACAGAAAATGTATAACTATTTATCAATAAGCTACTCCGTATATTGTAGTAACACAATAATATATATCATACTTACATAGCTTCCACTTTTAGTTTACATTATTTTTTACAATTATTCACACAAAACATATAACTTTTGTACAAAAAAGCAAAATTACATTATCAAAAAATGTATTAGACTTGCATATTTGGCACACATAATTCACATTTTATATAGCTTTTGTATTGATAAGTAATATAAAAATCACAATGTAATGTACCACATTTATACCAAAAAATATAATATTATATTAACATTTACATCATTTCTTACACGTTTTTCATATGTATTTACACCATTTATAATGTTGTTTACTCCGAAACACAAAATCAATTACATAAAGCATAACATCAATTAGATCACACTTTTTACAGGTAATTACAAAAGAATACACCCTCATATACCATGGTATAACAATGGGTCAAGCACCCATTATCTATATATATATTAAAACGCAAAAGTCTAGAGGAGTTTGGGCGGGAAGTGCAAAAGGAAGCAGTTGACCTAAATGTTTTTGATAATTTGGAAAAAAAGCTTTGTAAATTACGGAGTATATAATACAATAAAAAGCGACAAAGCATTAAATGCACTCGGCTGCAATTGGATGATAGGCAACGCAATACTTCGTAAATCAAAATGATTTGGCATACCACTAACCACTTAAGTGTATGTACGTGTAATTAATTGTTCTTTAAACAAATTGAATATATCCCGTAATTCCAAAAGGTGGTGTAATTAATTGGACGGTAAAGGCATTTTGCAATTCCAAAGTAACTCATTCATTAAATAGCGCATGGATCGGAGTGATATTTGAACTTCTGGAGGTTTTTGATTGTAAATCACTGCATGCCCTATATATATAAAGATGGTAGTTGTTGGATCCCTAATCGAGCGAAATGGTGGTGTTGTGGTTTTGTCGCAGGTGTATTAGCAAGATCGGTGGAGGGTTTCGATGACCACTGGGTTTGGTAATCTAATTAAGGAGGTTGACGTTGCAGTCATTGATGGGGTTTGAGAGAGCAGTAAGTCCAGTAACCAGCCAGTATTTCGTTCATTGATGGCATTTGGGAGGGCGATGGAATGAGGAACGGCAAGGTGTTTGTTGGGAAAAGAAAGGACTGAAAGTCAAGCTAGATTATTCTGCTACCGGGGTTGCCTTTTCCCATTTGACTTCTTGATTAATCACGTTGCCACTCAAACACTCAAAGAGTGATGATTAATTTAGTCATTATCTTCTCCATTTTTATTCTTTTATGTTTCACTGAAGATACTTATTGAGCTAAATTTCACCTCTCTTTGTAGTAAACATGTTATGAATCACAAACATAAATAGGTCTTTGAATGAGCAGACTCAAATACAATTTGTCGAAATTCTATGACTTTTTTTATTTCTCATAAATCAAACAACATTTCCTAAAACACAATTATACAAGTATTTGTCGGGGTGGAATTGTTTAAATCCTATAATTGTAGTTTAGTCTTGATTACGAGTATAATTGAGGAGATACGAGTTTTACTTTTATACGGAGCATAATACAGTACTTTGGACAAATTTCCACAATGATGCATCCTGCTGCATGATGTGTGTATGCCTAGAATACCATAAAACATACTACATACCCCGTTCCTAAAAATCCTTTCCAGATTGATTTGGCACGCTTATTAAGAAAGTAGAATTAAGCGGAAATGTATGGTTGTGGATGTGTAAGAAAATGGTAAAATGAACATGCCTACACAAATTGTCCAAAAAGGAAAGTGCGAAGTATTTTTGAGAACGGAGGGAGTATTGATCACATGTAATGTTTTTGTACTTGATATGATAAAATGATTTATTAAATCAGTTGCATAAATGCATAATAATACTTAGGTGAATTAATTGAATGTTTGTAAAACAAACAAAAATTTGAATATGTTGGTGGAAGAATCGATTACACTTCTCAGCATTATTGTTATTATATTCAACTTCAGTAAAAAATAACTATATCTCCACAATTATCAACGTCGGTGCTTAATAATGTGTTTTTTAACTGCATGGATTGGGGGACCTGGGGTAAACTGGTATCGATCTTACTTCATTGAGAATTGAACTTGGAACTTGGGACCTCACATAAGAGTAAACTGGTATCAATCCCCCATTGAAAAACCCATTGAAAAATTCATTTTTCAAATAATTTTTTACACATAAAATTTACATTAAAAATACAAAGAAATCCCAAATTTGGGGTGAGCCGAGGCCCGATTGACCTCCTCTCTACACCCGCCGCTGGGAAAGTTAGTCGGCGACCAACTTATCCGGACCACTTAATAATGTGTGTATATTATAAAGTGTTATCTAGCAAGAAAAATATCTCTTGGTCATAAAATTATATTTTCGTGATATTCATAAAAGGAAACGTAGAATCGAATAATTTATTTGTACAAGTCTACGAGGTGGGAAGTGTTTAAGAGCTGAAGTGCACTTTTAATTTATTTATGTCAATTAATTATTTTCTAGAGCTATATGATTTACTAAAAATCCTCTACTATAAAAAAATATGGGATTAACAATGATTTTTTCCAGAGATTTGTCAAAATTCATACAGGATTTGGCAGAAATATGCCAAATATTTGCTAAAGGGTGGTGGATAATAAGAGATGGAAATCCATTTTAAGTGATAAATTAAATATGTGGTAAATCAATTTTTCTTTTCTCTACAAATCTCAATTACACAATTTTTACTTCATTATTTTATGGGCATATTAAACTTGGCCGAATTTTACAAGAAGAATAAAGCATGCATTATTCATATTATTTAAAAAATTACTATTCTATATGCAAAATATATTTTCCCGTGCATCGCACGGGTACTAAACTAGTATAGATAAACTCATACCAATACTACATACTCCCTCCGTCCCACTAGAAGGTTCCCACTTTCCCTTTTTAGACGTCCCATATAAAGGTTCTCATTTCCATTTTAGGAAATAATTAAAAAACTTAAATGACAAATTAATCATAAAATATTAAAAATAATACATTTATAACATCACATCCATACTAACTACATTATAATATATACTTATTAAAATTATTTCTCAAAATATACTCAAAGTACTTTATTTAATTATTGTCTAAATAACCGTACCGTTTTGCTATGGGAACCTCTCAACTGGACGGAGGTAGTACAAAATTAAACCGTAACTTTTAGAAATATTATCACTGTTAACACAAAAAATGAAAAAACTGACCTTAAATCTCACCAAACTCATTATTAACGAATTATGTGTACAGAGTTGAAAATTTAATTATTACAAAAAGGTTTGAATGATTGCAAAACAACAAAAAGTTTTAATCAAACTGATAATCCACAAAAGAAGAGAATCAAACAACCACTTAATTTGCAATAGAGTCGTCGCATATGTTGAATTCTGACTTGTGTTTGCTTTTAATAAATTATTAATCAATTAATAATTTGTTCACTTTGTCAATTTGATGAGTAAGAGTTTAGAGTATTCTGTTGTCATGTTTTGAGCCAGGGAATCAATTTAATTTGATCCAAAATTTTCTGAATCGAAATACACAATTTAAGATCAGTTCGATTTTATCTTTTAAATAGTCAAACACATAACTTTAAATATGAAACTTATATTGTTCTGCATGAAGTTCAACTTTTATTTGTGAAAGTTGTATATGATTTTCTTACTAAAATAGTTTCTTATAGATGATAAATAAGAAAAATATATTCAACTTTTTTTATAGGTAAGAGTATATATATGCTCTAAATATTCAAACTTTTTCTTAATTTATTTGAAGATAGTTGAATAAGACATCTGTTATCTAAGGTATTATTAGTTGAACATATATTTTCTCCCTGATAGCCGTTATATTTACTTGTGTTTAACATAAGTATTTGTTGAAGAATAGAAGAGAAATCGGGAAAATACCTTCAAAATGGGAGCTATAACATAAAACATTACGATGAATGGCTTTTTGGACCAAGAGGATGACATTCTGCACATAATTCGAGTATAACTTATTGTAGAGAATTCCACATGAATTGATTTGATGTTTTATGTGAATGATAACTCAATAAGCTACAAATGTTGTGAATCCATCATGACCAGAATATGAAAGGATCAAGATTCAATCAACCAATAAAGTCAGATGTTGCTGGTGGGATTTCAGGATGCATACCTCTCAGTGTTTTATTAATATCTTTTGATTGGATGATTAAAAACATGTCATTAAAGTTTTGGTGGATTGAAGATTTCATTATCTACAACTTCGGTGAAGGGATCATGTCAAAATTCCTAACGGGACATCACCAAATTCCCTGGACAAAACCGGCGCCAGAATTGCTTCAAACCGGCGCCAGTAACATGTATAAGTTCCGGCGTCAAATATGCCAAACCACAACCGGTGTCGGTTCAACATGATTTTGGTGAAAAACGATCCAACCCGGCGCTGGCTAAGCCCAAGCCGGCGCCAGTTACCCCAAACCTACAGAAAAACCAGATGATGTGCAGAGATATATTGAGTTGATTTGAAGATATTTGGGAGGTATGACTCGGAAATTTTGCCCCAAGTTGATTGAGGTTCATGAATGGACAATCAAAGATTATTTTCAAGCCTATATAAACCCTCCAATCTATCCCAAATTGATCATTCAATCCCAATTTAATCCATTAGTTCATAACTAGTAATCATTAAATACATAACCCCACACAAAATCAAATCCATAAAACACATACTCCGTATTAGATAAAAGAAAAAAATAATGTCTCCAAACTATTTAATAACTAGATACTCGGTATATTTTATACAAATGACCATCTGCAACCCATTACTTTGCCTAAAGGATCAGAATGGTCAAGTGAAAATGGATGGATGACCGAGTTTTCATTGACATCAACAATCATTGAAGGGCAACAATTTGAGGTTCATGTCATTTGTACTTTTCAAATAAGGTTTATCTGTTGTACTAGAACAATAATTTGGGACCCACCATACCCTGAGGCTTCTGTCAAGACTCCCACTATACAACATAAACCCACCCCCAACACAAACTGGTGAAGCCTGCAAACATCTAACACCCCCTTCATGTCCCTTTATAACCCCAACCTTAAACAACCCTCCATCAACTCCCATCTTCCATATACCAATGCTCTTATCAGCTGAGCCACTGCAAAAGAAGTCCCCCATCACACACAAGGACAGAACAGACATTTCATGTCCCTTCACTTCACAAACCCTTTTGTTCCCCAAGGTCCATCCCATCAAATACCCATCTGAACATGCCCCATAGACCACATTCCCAGAAACCACAACTGCATTGAATGAAACTTCTTTGTGCCCTTCCAATACACCATTCAGTGAGTGTCTGTTCTTCCCTTCCCTCTTCCAAACTTTGATTTTCCCATCAGCAGAAGCCGAATAGACCGACCCCTCAACCGCGACCAGCCCATTTATTGCATCTTCATGCGCCTTGATTGACTCGAGACACTTCAAATCTGAAATCCTCCATACCTTCAGGGTCTTGTCCCAAGAACCTGGGGGAGAAGAGTTGTAGTATTGATCGAAAAACTTTATTAGTTGCAACCCAAGTTATAAAGTTTTTTGCTCAGGACTTGAGTACTTATTAGTTACTTACAATATACTAGTAACAGAAAACAACAATAAATGGCTAGTAGTTACGGAGTACTATTTTCTTTCAAAGAAGTCATGTTTGACCAAATGTACAACGTTTTAAATTTGGTGAGATTTATTTTGCTACAACCTTTTGAATTTGGTGACATGTCACAAATCAGGAGTTTCACTTTAAATTTTGTCTAGGTGGTCTCACTTAATTTATTATATTTAAGTTGTTTGGTAATGTTTTTTGTTTGTTTTTTGACAAAATTACATTAAAGTTAGCTTGAATCAATCAAACTAATTTTTCTTCTTTTGGAAAATACCATTTTTAAAATGAACTCTACTTTTGGCACAAAGGAGCAGGCGAGTATAAGATTTCTAATAGGACGTAATTACGAGTATAATACGATAGTATTTAAAACTCTATAATATTACTAAAATAGAACACATTGTTAAAGATATGACTAGATGTTCACTACATTTTGCCAAAAAAGGGAAGGACATTGTGGCATGACATTTTAGTCGTGTATTTTAACATATTCACAAAAATACGAAGCATTTGAAAATAATTTTCTCAGTAAAGCAAGAACATTGTGGCATGACATTTCCCTCAATCCCAAAACTTATCTTCATATTTCATTTTTCATCCATTTCAGAATAAAATTCATAGCATAATGTTTTTTTTATCTATTCTACACAAACTTAGAGCATTACAATTCATCAGTAATAAAAGAAGAGTGATTAACAGAACCGTTAATTACCTGAATAGACATAACCATTATGAACAGCCAAACAAGAGATACTATCAGCGTGTTCGATCCACAGCTTCTTGTGATGCCTTCTGGTCTGCACATAGTTACTCTGCCTCATGAACCTCCCCAGATAATCCTTTGTAGTGGGAAGACTGTCAAGCAGCCGAAACAGATTCTCCGATTTCCTCGAAACCTTCCACACCCTGATTCTGCTGTCCTGATGGGCCGTGAAGACTCTGTTACCAACCGTTAAAAGCGCCTTCACGGAGCCGTCGCCGTGGCCGAACTTGGTGAACCGGCGCAAATCCGGGTGCTGCCAGACTATGATGTCTTTCCCCTGAGAAGCGCTGAGGACGAACTCCCCGCACAGGGCTATGCAGGAAACGGATCCGACGTGGCCGGAGAGAATCGCCAGGCATTTGTGGGATTGCGGCGAGGAAGCCGGCGGAATCGGGGGTTTTGAAATCGGGCAGAAGTCGTGTCTTATTGACGGCGATGGGCTTTCATCCAGATCGCTGCTGGCGTTGCTTGTACTGCTCCGGCTGCTGCTGCTTGTGGTGGATGATGGAAAAAGGTTCGATCTTGGGTGTGACATTTCGGTCCTAGCTTGTTCTTGATGAAATGCAGGGGATCGGAGGAAGAAGGCAATGAGGCAAGGGATCTTTTTTTTCTTCTTTCAGAGAGACGTTATAATGGAAAAGGTAAGATGGAGCCAAGTTTTTGGGTACTTTAGGAAATCAATGAGGGAGTGCGTTGAATTACAACACCTAATTTTAAACTTTAAAGAGAGCTACGGGGCAACGGCCATATTATGTACTACCTCCGTCCCAAAAAGAGTTGCAAATTTGACTTTTCTTAATGAAACAGTCTCGTTTTGTTCACTTAATTGGGATGCCAATTTTTAATTATATTCTAATTTGGAGTTTACAACTTTGAAGAAATTTTAATGTAGTTTTTGAATATGTAATTTTTAATTATTAAAAATTGAATTAAGTATCCATAGAGAGGGTTGACTTTTATTATTGGTTGACCGAAAAATGTTGACTTTGCAAAACAAATTGGGACGGAGGGAGTATTAAAGTAAGTTCAAATGATACATATAGATTTAGTAGTTTCATATACATGTAATACTCCGTGTATTATAAAATTCATGGAGCTAATAGCTCAATCGGATGTCATTTACTTGAATTATTTTTTTAAACCAGATTTACTTGAGTTATAACACACTGAACCAGAGGTATTTCAATGTTGGAAATGTTACCTGAACAGGAGCAAAAAGAATCTTTATTACTTAAATAAGAATAAAGTTAAAAAATTTCCAAATAAGAGTTATTGTTTGTAGTTGTACAAAAATATCCCTCAAACTTGGAAAAAACCGCTATCGACACAAACTCGGAGTGTCATCGGCCGCCGCTGCAGATTTGACCGTTGCAATTGCAGATATGGTTGTCATCGCTGCACATCTCGCCGCTACTGCCGTAGATCTAGCCAGATCTATCCACCCCAGTAGATCCAGCCTCCGCCGCTGCAGATTTGGTAGATGCCGCCACTGATGCCAACACTTTTATCAGAATGACAACATGAATTGAGAATGTCATCTTAATGAAATTTTCAAAGAAAAATATGATTTTTTTACATTTTTTTAACAATTGAAAGAAAATTTTAGCCATTAAACAATTAATATATTTGTACTAAAAGTCTAAAATAAATTCAGCTTTTATCATTTACATAAAATCATTGGCTCAAATATTTTTTTTTAGTAAATCCTTGTGATTTCAATGCAAGCTAAAACCAAAACTAGCTAAATCGATGTTAGGAGAAGGTGTTTAACCGCTTTTGTTTTTTCTCATGAGGAGCTAGTAGCTAAGTTATGGTCTTTCCCGCCTCACTTTTATAAAGTAGTAGAGAAAATAAACAAAGAGGGACACTTGTTTCTAAGGGATTATTTGAATGGTGTAGGCCTGGTTCGTGGTTTTGCTCTTTCCGATGGTAAAAGGTGCATGCTAGCTATCCATGCATTTGCTCGGGTCGCATATCTGTTTGTGTTTTGGCGTTTCTTTATGCTTTGGATGGGTTTGGTCGCTGGCCACTGTGAGCCAAAGAAGCAGGTCTAGTTTCATAGCAGTAGGTTGGATGGATGCGCAATAGGGGCTCATTGATCGCTATGGCCAACTACAATTGGAGGAGGATGGCAATGAGGTGGAGACTGTCAGAGTAGTCCCTAGTGGGGACTGTTTTAAGAGAGAAATTCCTGCCGTTTAGAGACACAATTGCTCGTGTTTGGAGACCTAGGAGGAGAGGGATATTTTATTAGCTTATGCTTCGGGACGAAGCGTCTTTTAAGGAGGGTAGAATGTGACACTCCAAAAATTTTAATAAAATAAATATTAAGTGAATGAGATATAATGTGTTGACTTGAATAACAAAAGTGACGTTTTTATAAGAGGCGATAATTATACATATGACATAAATAATAAAAGTGACATTTTTACAGATTCTAATTTAAAGATATTAGTTAATAATGTGTACAAAAAATATGTATATATACGTACCCTAAATACCACACAAAACAACAAGGTTAGAACAATTGACATTTTAAACCAAAAATACAAATGCCTAATAATAATACGAACTCATATATAACAATAATATGCATATACACCTGTGTTGCCAATTGCTCCGCATATACTTACGAGTATATAGCAATGATAGACATAAATACCAAGTTACGTACGTGCTGGACCAACGACCAGCAAACCCACTGATGTGTGTTTTCTCGCACTTAAAATAGATCGTAATATAGTGGTGTAAGTACGAGTATCGTCTCCACAAGGACGGACAAAAGGGAATCAAGAATTAATTAAATTCAGCGATTAAAATAAATAAATAAATAAAATAAATGTGTCGTGCGAGATATGATTGGTATGAAAAATTAAAATGCAACTAAACGATTAAAATAAATGGGTTCTCTCTAATTAATGATGAAAGGAACAGTGATTGATTCCGGGGTAACCAGATTTCTGGCAGATCATGCCTAATTACATGAAATTAATTCAATTGAGCCTAGCTAATCATTACTAAGTTCTTACCGCTCTCGCGGCGTAGAGTACAATAATTTAGGGGACCAGGCTGATCTCTCATGTGACAGGATCCTAAATTATTGCCAAGACGAGCGAGCTTACGACCCCTTAATCGCTACTAATCTCTTAGCGAACGATTAAGTGTGTGTGAAGGTGTCCTAGAATAAACTAGATCTCTCTTAATTTATTCTACAAGCAATTGTAATTCTAGCACGTGTTCTAGGTTACAAAAGATATCAGTTAAATTATTCAAACACAAATTAAACGGCATTCATGCAATTAATCCATCAAGAAACTAGCCATACATCATGATCAACCCCTTCATCAATCCCAATCCCTAATTAAACTACTCACAATTCATAATTGAAGAATCAATAAAATTGGGAAGAATAGAAATAATTGTCATTAATTAAAAAGGTGGAACTTACAAAGAATCCCAAAAGATTGATGAACAAGGCTGAAAAGCCCTCTAAAATTGGTGTTAAGCACTCTCTCTAAGCTCCCACTTGAAAACGGGGGTTTACAGGCTGTTTAAATAGAAAAATCGGGTGAAATTTGAGCTGAATTAGGATTTTCAGAGCCAGGCACGATCGTGTCTTCGATCGTGCCTCCGGAGCAAAAACGCGCATTTTGGGCAGGCATGATCGTGCCTCCCTCCAGGCACGACCGTGCCTGGCTGGCAGTAACTCCGCGGTGCTTTCTCTTCACGCACGATCGTGCCTGACTTTGAGGGCACGATCTTGCCTACTTAACTTCTGAATTTGGCAATTCTTCCTTCATGAAAGTTGTATATAATGAAGTCCTCTATCCACCCCAATTTTCCGAATGTGATTTGAATCATCCAATCAAGATATATGATCAAAATGGTGGAAGGTGTCTTTCTGAAATCGCAGCAGAGATCATCTCACTTCATCGTCTGTTTTCACCTTCTTCCTCTCAGATTCTCGCAAAGGTGTCTTCATATCATTTGTAGCCCTTGAAGTTAGCTTTGATATGGAACTTGAATGGTGTACATTGGATGTTTGTACAAAGAGATATGCTTGAACGATTGACAGAAGGTCATCCTGATCGTCGTTTTCAAGCTTCATTCATCTTCTTTTGACCCCATAGCTAATCCTAGAGCTCTTTTTCCTTCAAATTTTCATCGTGAATCTTCCGGTGACCTCCAAAGCTATCAAATCATTCTCAAATGCTTCTCAAATCATCCCTATTGTTCTTCAAGTGCCGGTACCGGGCTCAAATTCCCTGATTTTGACTACAAACAACACAAAACTCGAACCAACGCCCGGTAAACATAACTTGAGCTAAAATTGAGACTTGCAGCACCTTAAAGCTGGAAAACCATCAAAATCCAATCCCAACACACATCAAATGCGTGTCTAAATACGGACTTATCACCCACCTGCATAAGCCTAGCCGTTCCCAAAATGCCAAAAATACACATATGAAAGGAGTTGAAATAATATATACTTCATATAATGCATATAGCATACACACATGTATGACTAAGAAAAAGCCAAGATTTCCAACTCACTCAAGACACTCATCGTTGCCTCGAATCCTCCATTTATCACTATAAATAGCATCCTCAAACTTGCGATTTCTTTCACTCACAAACCAGCATTTGGTATACATTTATACACACGCACATACCACAAAATTTAGAAAGAAAACGAAAGTACGTGAGTAAGAGAGAAACAATCGCTAGGAGAGGGAGGAGTCGTTCTCCGGAGTTTGCCGGGCTGATTTTCACATCGAGAAACGGAGGCCCAAACGGAGTTGCAGCTGCAACCAGTCCACTGCTGCCTTGTCGGCAAATTCCTCTACCGCCGTCGTTCCACTCGTCCGTCTTTGGTGAGGTAAGCTGACGTCCTCTGCGTTTTCTTCATTTCCGGCGACTAGGTGTAGAGGATAAGCACTACGATGTATAATTACGGTTGGAATGCTACTCATTTAATCTTACAGTTGATCCGGACTACTTTTAACCTTAAACCAGGCTACTACTTATTAAACTAAAGCAGTGATACTGTATTGTTATATCATGACATCAACAACAACAACTCAATAATACTATCGTAGTAGTAGTAATAATAATGATAAGAAATAATAATTATAATCTGCAAATCTAACAATAAAATCTGGGATAGATGGAAATGCTTAAAGATGAAATCGGATTGACTAGAATAATACGAAGTAATTGTTACTGTTATCACTTGTTAGTTAGTATAATTTCATAAGGTATAATGATTAATGGATTTATTAAACAGAAATT